AAAAAATGTATGAACTTTTGATTACTTTGCTTGTTTTCTAGGTATTGATGATAATGGTTCTCCTCTTTAAAACTGCAATTTTTCGATTGATATTGCTCGAAAATTGTTAATATCATAATATGCTACGGTTTTTGGATTTGAAATGTTCATATAAATGGAAGAGTTTTCAAGAGGTCTTCCATTAATAGAAGATCTTTTAATATGTATTTTTAAGTTTAAGTGCCTATTTTAGGGACAGAAGACATTTTAAAAGTAGTTCTTCTGGGTTTTTTCTGGCCGTGCTGAGCGCACACAACCCTTAAATTGGGCGCCGAATCTATCAGATATTTAAATATAATTTAATAGTAGAAAATATTAATGTTATGAAGTTTTTTAATTTAAAACTGTTAAAATTCTCTCTTCCAAAACGATTATATTAACTCGACTTACCTTACCCAAATATTCAACTCCCCCACAATAGATAAATGTTTTCTCCGTTCGTATTACCTAACCCAGGTCCATATCTCAAATATAGCAACTAATAACATTTTAAAATTCACCCAATTATTATATTTTTCTGGTGCAACTACATAGAAGGTTCTTTACTGGCTTAAGTCATCGGCTGGCTTCTTCATAAAAGAACAATGCAGCTTTAGGCTGATATAGTTCAATTCCGGCCCATAATCTATTCATGTTCGTCTTAGGCTCTTTTGTTTTTTTGTACGAAGAAGTCGGCCCATGACTTAAGGTGAGAATATATAAAACGCTTTTTTGATTGGCTTCTTCGTAAATAAATGAGTTTTAGGTTGACTTACTTCGATTTGGGCCTACGTTCCTTTATTCTTTTCTAAAGAAGGCACTCGATAATTTAACCAGTCAAAAAAGCGTTTTATGTGTTCTCACCTTTAAGAAAAAAACTTCAACAAAGTCAAACGCTATAATTTTTAATTTTTTTGATTGAAAGCAAAAAATGTCGGAAATAGCATCAAATTTTAGAATACGTTTAGATTTGTTCGAATTGGTCGCTCATGGCACGAATTATGGCCTTCAAACGACCAATGAAACCGTCACACGCTACCCGAATGTTGCTCAGCGGTATTTTGGCCCATTCCCTGCGAAACGCTTGCCTGAGGTGATCGACACTTTGGTATTTTTTAGTGCCAACCTTGCTCCAAAAAAAAAAAAAAAAAATACTCCGGACACAATAGTCCAACGGTATCCGGAGATTTTGGTGGCCATTGTTCTCTGGAAATTGAGCAAGGAACCTCATTTTGTAACCATTCTTGGGTAACGCGTGCTGAGTCCTGTTCGAATGTCCAAAATATTTGCGTGCCCAAGGCTTTGATATTTTCGCGATAAAATTCGGCATTTATTCTGATGCCACGGTCGATTAATATGAGGGGAGAGCGACCATCGGCTGTTATGGCGGACCACACCATCACCGGACGGCGCTAAGGTCTGGTGGTCAACCGAAGGTGCACATTTTCAGCTGACCTCTTTGGCAAGTTAACATGATCATTTTTTTTTGTTTACAAACTGCTGGACGACAAATGTTTACTCATCGGAGAAAACCAAATTCAGCAGTTCACCACTTTCGGCCAAGCGAAGCAACTCTTTAGCTCTTTTCAGTCTATTTTCTTTCTGTTGCGGTGTAAGTTCTTGCACTTTTTGGAATTTCAATGGCTTAACCCCGAGCTTACTTTTTTAATAAGTGCCAAATGGAATATTGCGATATGTTCAGCTCACGAGCCATTTTTCGGCCACTGCGACGCGGGTTTCGATCAAGTCGCTTCTTTACTTTTCAAACCATTTCTGCTGATGTTGCTATTTTCTGCAGTCCACTTCCTTGACGTCGGGCTACGCTACAAGATTTATTCCTATTTTAATGCTGGAGTGCTCTAGCGATAGCCACTAGTAATTTTCCAGCCAAATGTAAAATCACACCATCACGCTTGAATTCCATTACGAATAACTTTTTTTCTGGAAAATTCTCACCAAAATGCTTTTTTCGGCCACTGCGACGCGGGTTTCGATCAAGTCGCTTCTTTACTTTTCAAACCATTTCTGCTGATGTTGCTATTTTCTGCAGTCCACTTCCTTGACGTCGGGCTACGCTACAAGATTTATTCCTATTTTAATGCTGGAGTGCTCTAGCGATAGCCACTAGTAATTTTCCAGCCAAATGTAAAATCACACCATCACGCTTGAATTCCATTACGAATAACTTTTTTTCTGGAAAATTCTCACCAAAATGCTTTTGAAAAAACAATGTAATGAACTGTCACTGTAATAATTTTAACAACTGTCGGACTAGTGTCTTAGAAATGACAACAGTCTGAAGTTAGTTGCAGTTTTCTGATCTCACCCTGTGTGCATCAATTTGTTAATTGATGCAGATTTTTAAAAAGAAACTCAAAAGTTGAACTTTAACCTTGAATACCTCTGCAATTACAGAGCCTAGTTTGATTGTTTTTGATTCGGTGGAAAGCTGATTTTTATACCCTCCACCTTGAAAAGGAGGGTGTATTTATTTTGTCATTGCGCTTGTAACATCCCTAAATATTCGTCGTAGACCCCATAATTTGTCGATTTGTCCGTCTGTTTTTCCGTCTTCCTGCCTATCTGTTGAAATCACTATACAGCCCACATTATTTGACATAGAGCTTTAAAATTTTGCACAAAAATGTTTATAATGTCTAGGATGTTTAGTATTGAAAATGAGATATATCGGTCCACGTTTTAATACAGCCCCTTTATAATGTTTATACCCTACAACACTATGTGTTGGGGGTATTATAAGTTTGATTGGGCCAAAAATTATGTAACACCACGAAATATTGATTTCCCACATAGGAAAGTATATATGGATCTTCCTAGCTCGCCGAGCTGAGTCGATCTAGCTATGTATGTCCGTCCGTCCGTCCGTCTGTCCATGTTAATTTGTAATCACTCTACAGGTCGCAATTATGACCCGATCCTTACGAAATTTTGCACAAAGGTGGGGTTTGGGTCAGAATAGAACCCTATATTTTGGAGATGATCGCCAAATGATTAGGGGTTGAAATGGACCAAATACTGAAAAAATGTCGGATTTTGCAGTAGCTATACAGGTCGCAATTATAGACCAATTGAAGCGGAATTTCGCATGTAGCTAGAGTTTAGGGCAGGGAAGAAGCCTACCAATTCGGGTGGTCATCGGATAATATTTAGCGGGTAAAATATACCATAACTTTTGTGTTGAAAAAATTCAAAAATTTTCATTAAACCGCGAATATTTTAAATCCCGGCGAAATCACAAAGCCATGACAAGGTTACTTCTGGTCTTTACATTGATATTAACATCCAACATATCGGATATATAGCAATATATATGTCTATCAAAGAAGATATGCTTGAAAGATCTCTTATATGTCGAGAACGGCTGAACTGATTTCGACAGTTCTCATTAATTCAGAATGGCCTCTTGGCAGGAAAGAAAAAACGTCTAAAAAATCGCATAAAAATATCTCTCTAAAGATGAAAATATTGATTTTCTAAAATTTTCTCATATTTTTTCAATTTTGTCATATTTTTGGCATATTTTCATTTTGAATTAAACATTTTTTAATATTTCTACACCTAACAAAACTAAGTTGTTAGGATATCAGAATATCATATACAGATCGCATTTATGGCCCGATCCTTACGAAATTTTGCAGGGAGAGGGTCAGAATAGAAGCCTACTCTTTTTGGAGATGATCGCCATATATTTAGGGGTTGAAATGGACCAAAAAACTGCAAAATTGTCAGCAGGTCGTAATTATCGCCCGACCCTCACGCACGTTTGAATGGGGGTTACCGGACATTGCAAAAGCCAAGCAGTTTTGGATGGCCATCCAAAAGTATTCAATGTGCGAAAAAGTTTGCCAACTTTTGTAGACAAAATACGAAAATGTCCAATCCAGTGACTTTTTGGAGAATTCACAAATACAGGAAAGACGCACTTCTGACTATTTCGTTAACGCTGATTTCGTTGAAGAATATAGTCAAATGTCTGTATCTCATATAGATGCGTTTCAGTCAAAAACCAATAATAAATGTTAATCTTTTGCCACTTTGAGAGATTATAGGTCTTTGGGAAATATTGCTTCCAGATCTAGGAAGACCATTTAAGTGCAACATCTACCAATAAATTAGAAATGAGCTAATTAGTTTAGGTTGCAATTATTCGAAAATTAGAGAACGAAACCTGATGGTTTTCTTTTATTATTTGTCACAATATCTTGTGGAATTCTTTCGAGTATCTCGCCTATATAAACAGTATCGTTTATTATAGTGTTGTAGGGTATTCAAGGGTCGGCCCCGCTCGACTGTAGCCTTTGCTTACTTGTTTTTACTTGTTATTAATTACTACTGTACTTTTTCTTTACTTTTCTTTCTATGCTTCTTTTTTTATGTATCAGTAAGGGATTTATAGTTCTCCTTGTGGCGCCATTAATCGTTGTCTCTCACTCGTATTTATAATTACTGTCGCTTTTGTTATTTACAATGCGTTTTTGTGTTTGTGGTTTGACAAATAGATATGGTTGTCATTCCATTGGGATATTGTACAACATCATGGATTCGGATTCTCGAAGCTACCATGTGTAGATGAGGATGTATAAATACGAGTGAGTAGGTCAGTTAGTTAAGTGCTAAGTAGAGTGATTTTTGTAAATAGCATTGTAAGACTTGCAATCCGAACTCGTTTTTATTGGTGCAACTAGATTTCGTAACAATATGTTAACATCTTAAAATCTTCGGGTTATGAATAGCCTATAAAATCCAAGGCAACAAAATTAAGCAGGAAACAACTCTCTTTTTGCTTTATATTCTGCACTAGTTTTATTTAGTTGTAACATGGAGATTTCTTATTATAAGTAAATTATTCAATTTTATCTTACACATTTCTTTATATATTTATGAGAATATATTGGATGTAATTATCACTAAAATGACTAGAAACACTCGTCCAATTTCATTTTTTGTTTTTTTTTTTTCTCTAAATTATATAAAAATTATTATTAATCATACGTTTGCAAAAACATAAATATTATTCTCTCTTCAAGAGACAATGAAGAGAACTCTAAATTCACTTACACTACATTTATATTTACAAATACTATTGCAATTTAAAAATATCTACGATATTCATTACCACCTCTGCCGAGGCCACCGCCGGCATTGTTGGCCCCTAAATATTACGTTAAATGATACAATGATTTTGTATCACCGACAATATCGACATCACTGCCTTCGCCATCATCATCCATATCCTCATCTTCTAAATCGGAATAATCATCGGTGGAATAGTCATTGTGTATGAAAGCAACACCACCGCCTCCACCTCCAGCTGCTTGGTTGTCTGTGAGAGCATGGCCATTGGAGGATATACTGCGCAACATTTGTAACTGATGGTGGTGCTGATGATGATGGGGATTTCCCGCATGTTGTAACTGGTGTGGCTGATGATGATGAGGATGCTGCTGTTGGGCATGATGATTATGTTGGGCGCCAGATGATGGGTTATTATTTGAATGTAATGCTGTTTTGTTCGATTCACTCAAACCAATGGCCGCATTTCCATTTGTTGCAGAACTGCCGCCATTGCTCAATGAAATTTGCGATGATACCGAAGATGCTGATGATGAGCCTGACGATGTTAAGGAGCCATTTTTATTATTACCACCACCCCCACTGCCATTTGCACCGCTCCCCGATCCATCTGAACGTGAAAAGTCAACTGGTTCTGTAAATGGGAAAAACGTTGAAAATTGCTTGGTTTAGTTTGGAGCGTTATTTTGCAATTTTATTCAATATTTTATTCTTTCTTAACAAATTGTCTAGTCTAATTGGATTTAGGGCATTTTTTTTGAGTCTAAATGGAAAATGGGTTTGCTTTCTTTTGACTTGTTGTTGTCTTTGTGGTTGTTTGCTGAAGAAAGTTTTCTTTGGAAAAGTCTTTTGTCGAGCATGGAGTAACATCAGTTAAGATAGTTCATTCTTAATGGATTCCTTCCTTGCATAATAGTTTGAAGTTTGTGGTTTCCATTGTCTTGCAAGAAAGAAATTTTAGCAAGAGGTCAATGTGCAGGCAAGTCTTGGACTAATTGAATAAATTTATAGTTTTGAATACTTAAAGAAAATTAACTTTTTATGGTTTGAGTAGTAAAAAATAAGTTTAAATTTAAGTTTTGGGTGGATACGAAAATATTCAAACCTTAATACCTCAGGATACATACATATCGTAAGGGAAGAGAAGGGACCCAAGTATTTTTTATGAGATCCCTGTTTACATTGGTTCTACAAACCGAATCAGTGACCGATCAGGATATAACAAAATCTTGAAATATATGTTGAATTTGCCTCCACGTCGAGGATATTCTGTCAGCTAGGCTGAAAATTGTATTCAGAAGAGGAAAATTACCGGGCTAAAACTATGGTTGGAATTGTTGCCAGAAGAGGAAATTTATCAGCCCAAAAATGCTGTTGGGTTAGAAACAGACTTCAGCAGAGAATACTGCGGGGTTGATGTACACACTAACCGAGGTGGTCTTATATCTGAGATCTTCAGACAGAAAGGGTGAGGCTATAAGTCCATATTAACGGAAAGAAGTTTTGCAATGTTTGCAATGAAGTTGGGCACAAGATAACGGACACCGGTCTTAAATATTTAGTAAAGCTTATGTGAAGCAAATAAAAGTTCTTATGGGGAATTTGTGAGAATTAAATCAGAGGAGGGGAGGATATTCGATTTCTACTACATTTTCTGAGGTATTTGTGCCTTTTCAATTCGGGCTTGTATTACCCATTTGGTGCACAGTTAACTTAAAATCGGATAAAGATATATATGGGAGCTATATCTAAATCCGAACCGATATCGATAAAATTTGGCAAGGGTATTTCCGAGCTGTATTGGATACATTTCCCCGCATTTCGTTGTTACGGAGTGTATATTACGGATGCGGAGAACACATATAACAAATCGGATGAACATTATGTATGAGAGCTATAGCTATATCTGACCCGTTTATCACCAAATTTGACAAACTTGTTTCTTGACTTAATTTGGTCGTAAATGCCAAATTTCATCCCATCTGGGCAAATATTACACGTTTGGTGCACAATAAGAGAAAAATCGGATGAAGATATATACGGGAGCTATATCCAAATCTGGACCGATTTTGATAAAATTTGGTAAAGGTATTTCCGAGCTGTATTTCATATATTTCCCCAAATATCGCTGTTACAGAGTACATATTACAGCTGCGGAGGACAAAAATAACAAATCTATAGCTACACCTGTACCGATCTCGATCAAATTTGGCATACGTAGGCCTAATTTGTGCAAAATTGCATACTATTTGGGCCGACATTACACGTTTGGTGCACAATATAAGGCAAATCGGATGAAGATATATATGGGAGCTACATTTAAATTTTGACCGATTATCTCCAATTTAAATAGGGCTCGTCCTTGGGTCACATAAATGATTTGTGCAAAATTTCATCTGGATCGCGCAATAAATGCGACCTGTACTTTGTTCACAAAAATACATGGACAGGCGGACGGATAACGGACGGACATGCATAAATCTTCTGAGTCGATTCTGTGATTCTATGCAGATCATCAAAAGAAAGTATGGGTCTATCTCGTATCCTTCTGCCTGTTACATACGAATGCACAAAGACATAATACCCTAACCACGTTGTGAAGTAGGGTATAAATACCACCACAATAACTCCGATGTAATAAATTGATTTTCTTTAAAATAAAACGATAAACGTAGCATGTTTAAAATTTGTTTGGATACCAATGGAACAGCTGCGGGTGCGTTAAGAAACAAATTGATGCCTCGGGGCTAAGACGATTTAGCTCCGTCCGTCCATCTGTGCGTCAGTTGTAATCACGCTAGAGTCCAAACGTATTGAGATTGGAAGCTAAAATTTTGCACAGATCAGTCTTTTGTGTTCATGCAGGTCAAGTTCGAAGATGGGCTATATCGGTCCACGATATCGTATATAACGGTACATCGCATATTAGGTTTTTTGATAATTTTTGCGACATTTTTGACTGGTTTTAGATTTTGTATTTAGAATTCATAATGGGTACTACATCCTAGGACAAAAAATTATCCATGGAGGTCTACGTCTTCGTATAGAATTCATATAACGGTACCTCCCAATATTCGGTATTTTGATAATTTTTGTGTAATTATTTACCGGAGTTGTTTCAAATTCCTAATGGGAATTACAGTCTATGTCAGGAAATTGTCAATGTTAGTCCAGGTCTATAGACCCATTATAACGGCTATATCCGGTATTTTAAAGATTTTAAGAGAATTTTTAAAGGATTTTACTTTTTCGAAAATTTCCAAATTCGTTCCAATTGGTGGAGGGTAATCAAAGTTCGGCCCTGGACTTTGCAGTGGACCGCTATACGAACGTTATACTCAGTGATGCTTTCCGTTAGTATGTAGATTCCACACTAGATTTTACATAAGAACCGGATCTATTTTTATACCCTCCACCTTGGAAAGGAGGGTATATTAACTTTGTCATTCCGTTTGTAACATCCTTAAATATTCGTCGTAGACCCCATAAAGTATATATATTCATAATCAGCATAAAATTCTAAGTCGATTTAACGATGTCCGTCTGTCTGTCTGAAATCACGATACTTAGCAGAGCAATTTGTATTGTGTCTAGGATGGTTGGTATTGAAAATGACATATATCGGTCCACGTTATGGTACAGTCCCCATATAACGGTACCTCCCGATATTCGGTATTTTGATGATTTATGCCACATTTTTTCACAGATTGTCTGGAAATTGGTATTTGTAGGTCATAACGAGTCCCTGTGCGTGTGGCAAAACATTGCATGTATGGGTTCAGGTTTTGGTATAGCCCCATATAAAGGTACCTCCCGATATTCGGTATTTTATTTTTTTTTTGCCACATTTTTGTATTTTGTATTCGTTGGTCATAACGGGTTCCAGCTCCGGTGGCGAAACGTTGCATGTATAGGTCCACGTTTTGATACAGTCCCCATATAACGGTACCTCCCAACATTCGGTATTGAGATGACTTTTGACACATTTTTTCAAGAATTTCTCTGAAAATTGGTAGTTGTAGATCATAATGGGTCCTAGTTCGTGTGGCGAGTCATTGTAATTATAGGTCCACGATTGATGATTTTTGCCTCATTTTTTCACGGATTTGTCTGAAAATTGGTATTTGTAGGTCATAATGGGTTCTAGCTCCTTTGGCGAAACATTGTATGTGTAGGTCCACGGTTTGGTATAGCCCCAATATAACGGAACCTCCCGATATTGGGTATTTTAATGTTTTTTTTGCCACATTTCTTCTAATGTTTACTTTACCCTAAGGTGGAGGGTATTAAAAGTTTGGCCCGGCCGAAATTAATGTTTTTTTACTTGTTGTATGGTAAATCCGGTTGAATAAATTCAGATTAAGCTAAAAATTATGTCGGTCAACTGTATTTTAGGCCTTACTCCACCATCTATCTATTAATGTTATGATACAAAAGCAGTTTGACTAGTTTGAGATGTAAGAGCCGTAGCCGAATTTTGTCATCGTTTTCCTTTATAATTTAATATAAATATATGTCAAGCCATGATGTTAGGCTCTACTCCACCGCTATAGCATAAACGGCTATGAGACACTATTTATTATTGAACATTCATCAAACTAAAGTATGATTTTTTTAAGATTTTCACTCTCAAAAATGTTTAATATTTGAAGACCCCTTTGTGGCGCCCAACCCAATTTTCAGTTAAAAGTCTATACCCTATAACATCTTCTTTGTATATCTAAAAATGACTAGTTCCTTCATTGAATTTTGAACACCAACAAAACTTACCGTTCATTACATCCCGTCGCCGCAGCTGTTTCTTGTGTTTCATGCGACGATTTTGAAACCAAGTTTTCACTTGGGTTTCACTCAAACCCAACGATGTGGCCAATTCAACACGTTCGGGTGTCGATAAATAACGTTGCGCCTCAAAGCGTTTTTCCAAACCCGAAAGTTGAGGGTCACTGAAGACAGTGCGTGCCTTGCGTCTGCGACAATGACGCAAAGCATTCACACCCATGCCCAGACCCAAGGCCAATTCAGGCATGCAACCGCCGGCAAATAAATGGCCACCACCAAATAGACCAGCTGAAATGGACCATTGGAAAAAACAAAAACAAATATTAGTTTGCAAAATAACAAAATTGTAGCTTAATTGAATTATTATTGACATGTTTAGGGTCAGTGAGGAAAACAAATTTGAACCCTAATCAAATGTTTGTACATTGTTTTGAACAATTTCACATATTTTCCAACAACCTCATAAAATGGGGTGGGAGGTGTTAATTAAATTTACAATACCCACAACATGTCAATAACTTTTTGTTTAGGTCACTTCTTGTGGTCCCTGCACTTTCGTTTTGTCACTTGTCCGTCCCTCTTACCTTGCGATAGAAAATAGGGATCCACCGATTTGTATGCCCCTGATGAGGGTGATAAGTAGCCCAATGTCATTTGTAGGAAACCATGATCACTGTAGGCAGCACTGGGATATAAAACACTGCTGGGCGGTGGTGGTGGCGGTGCATGTGGGTGCGTCGATGGCGTTGTCATTACCGTCGGTTGTGGATGATGTGGCTGTGGTGTTGCTGGATAGTTATGCTGTTGCGGCTGCTGCAATGAAGACGTTTGGGAGGTGGCTACTGGGGTTGTGGTCACTTGAGACGCTGTTGTGTTGCTCGCATCTGTTGTGGTTGCGACCGTATGACGTTCTCCGGATTTGAGGGATCTTTAAAGAGAATAAATAAAAATATAATACTAAGCTTTTAAAAATCATTTTTAAAATAAATCCCTGGAGCAATTTGTTATATTTTATAGAAATACCTAATAAATATATATGAATAATAAATATTTGATATCTATGGTTGAACAATCTTGATTTAAAAGAAGTAAACCTGCGGGGTATGTTTGGATGACATTTTTTGGAAACTTTTAGATATCGACACAACCGAGCCTGTAAGCACCAATAGTTGCTTTTTTCTCACACCACTAAATAAAATAGAGAAGATGAAATACACTTCAAATAAAATGGAATGGATCATACGTGCGCTATATCAAAGAGCGGGTCGATGTTAATTATGCCCTACATCACAAGGTGGTCAGGGAATTATGTCTTTGTGCATTTGTTTGTACGAGTAAAAGGCAAAAGGAAACGAGATAGACCCATAGTTCCTTTTGATGATCTGCATAGAATCACATTCTGAGTCGATCCGTCCGTCTGTCCATGTATTTTTGTAAACAAAGTACATGTCGCACTTATTGCCCGATCCAGATCAAAATTTTGCATAAATCATTTGTTTGGCCCAAGGATGAACCCTATTGAAATTGGAGATAATCGATCAAAATTTAGATATAGCTCTTAAATATATCTTCGCCCGATTTGCTTTTTATTGTGCCTCAAACGTGTTACATCAGCCCAAATAGTATGAAATTTTGCACATATGACCTGAAAATAAGTATGCCATATTTGGAAATTGGTTCAATTATAGCTCCCACATATATAGATCATCCGATTTGTTATTTTTGTCCTCCGCAGAAGTAATATGAACTCTGTAATGACGATATTTGGGGAAATATATCAAATACAGCTCAGAAATACCTTTGCTAAATGTTATTGTGATCGGCTCAGTTTAGGGTATAGCTCCCATACACAACTTCGTCCGATTAGCCCAAATGGCACTTACGACCAAATCGAGTCTAGAAATTAGAATGTCATATTTGCTGAAGATGGGTTCAGATGCTATAGTTCTCATTTGTTATATTTGTTCCCCACAGCCGTAATATATAATATCCAAATCTGAACTGATCTCAATAAAATTTGGAAAAAGTATTGCTGAGATGTATTTCATATATTTCTCCGAGTATTGTTGTTACGGAGTGCATACTACGGCTGTGTAGGAGAAATTTAACAAATCGGATGAAGAATATATATGGGAGCTATAGCTATATCCCAACCGATTTCCACTAAATTTGACACACTTATTTTTGTTATATGTGCCAAATTCCATCCAATTTGGCCTAATAATACACGTTTGGGACCAAATAAAAGGCAAATCAAACGAAGTAATATATGAGATAAAAAAAAAACTAAGAAAAGGTGTTGTTTAAAAGCGCACAAAAGCATGTTGATGAGAATTATCCAGAAAAAAGTTATTCGTGATGGAATTCTAGCGTGATAGTGTGATAGTGTGTATATTTGGCTGGAAAACCACAAGTGGCTATCGTTAGAGCACTCCAGCATTTAAATGTGAATAAAATTTTTGTGTCTCGTACCATCGCTCGACGTAAAGAAAGTGGACGGAAGACAACAGTACCATCAGCAGAAATTGTTTGAAAAGTAAAGAAGCGACTTGATCGAAACCTGCGTCGCAGTGGCCGTGAGCTCGTGTGGCTCGTGAGTTGAACATATCGCAATATTCCATTCGACAAATATTGAAAAATGAGCTCGGGGTAAAGCCATTGAAATTCCAAAAAGTGCAGGAACTTACATCTCAACAGAAAGAAATCACACTCAAAAGAGCTAAAGAGTTGCTTCGCTTGGCCGAAAGTGGTGACCTGCCGAATTTGGTTTTCTCCGATGAGAAAACATTCGATGTCCAGCAGTTTGGAAACAAACCAATGAGAAGCCAAAGAGGTCAGCTGAAGATGTGCACCTTCGGTTGGCCACCAGAATGGTGTGGGTCGCAATAAAAGCCGTATTAATCGACCGTGGCATCAGAATAAATGCCGAATATTTTCGCGAAAATATTCTGGAGGATGTATTAAAGCCTTAGGCACGCAAACATTTTGGCCGCAGACCTTGGACATTACAACAGGACTCAGCACCATTGCACTCAGCACACGCCACCCAAGAATGGTTACAAAATAAGGTTCCTCGCTCCATTTCCAGCGCACCACCACCAAAATCTCCGGATACCAATCCGTTGGACTATTGTGTCTGCGGTATTTTGGAAAGCAAGGTTGGGCAAAATACCGCAGAGCAATATTCGGGCAGCGTGTGACGGTTTCATTGACTGTTTGAAGGCCATAATTCCATAAACTTATTCTAAAATTTGATACTATTTCCGACATTTTTTGCTTTTAAAAAATGTCAAAATTATGGGGTTTGACTTTCTTGCAGATTTTTTTATCTCACCCTGTACTCTTAAGTTTTATAACCAATCAATAGATCTTGCGATTTAGATTCTATTATGAAATAGTATCGTGTTATTAAAACTAAAATAAGGAAAAAGCCATCTTTTTAAAGGTCTGTTACTAGTGATTATTATATTGGATAATGTAGATTCGTTTGTAGACTTTGGAGGTATTTTAGAAATAAAAAGAGAAAATGTTTTTACGTTTGATTGTTTGTATGTAATTTATAAACTCAAAAACTGCTGAACAGATTTTCCTGAAAATATCCAAATATACTACGGCATAGTTTGAAAGTAATATAGGCTATATACATTTTTGAAATTCCACTTGGAACGGGAGATATAGCATCAGAATCGGCGGTACGACCAAAAAAAGTAGTTTTTGTATATGCATATTATTTGATCGATTAAAGATATAGTCTTTAAATTCGAAGTGCGTAACGGAATTATGAGCAAAAATATTTTTTCAAATTATATTGAAATGGGTACAGATTTGGATATGGCTCCCATATATATTTTCAGGTGATTCTACATATCTGATGCATCAAACACGATATGTATGTCCGATTCCAATGAAATTCAGAATGTGTGGCATAATTTGGTACAAAAATAAATTTGACAAATTATATTGAAATCAGTTAAGATTTGGATATAGCTCCCATGTATATTATCGGCTGATTTTACATATTTGATGCACCAAACACGATATGTATGTCTGATTCCAATCATGGCAAAAATACAGAAGGCAGAACAAAGCTATTTCCTAAATACAATGTTTTTTTAAAAAAAAAGGAAAAAAATTGTTCAATTTTGTGATAAAACTGTATTGCCCTACTATTTTAGATCAGTATTTTGTTAAAAAATGTAAAATAAACAAAGCCAACTGTTGCATATTTAAAAGTCTATTTGACACTATAAGAATCCGGCACAGAGTTGCATTTTTGTATTTCCTTTGAAGTTGACCAACGTTCCTTATTGAGTCATGATTCCAATTTAGTAAATTTAATTTTAATTAAAATTTTAATTTGGTAAAAAAAGCAAATTATATTAAAACAGGTTAAGGTTCGGATATAGCTGTCATATATATTTTGGGCTGATTTCAAATAGTTGATGCATCAAACACGATATATGTGTCTGATTTCAATGGAATTGCGGGGAATTTAGTATAATAATAAATGTGTCAAATAATATTGAAATCCGTCGATATTTGGATATAGCTCCATATATATTTCGGCTGATTTTATGTATGTATTTCCGGTTCCAATGAAATTCAGAATAAGTGGTGGAATTTGGTATTAAAATTCATTTTCCAAATTATATTGAAATCGGCCGATTTCGTATATAGCATTTTCAGATTAAATGAAACCTTTTGCAATGAAACCTTTTTGCAGTGGAAATGAAACCTTTTGCAGTGGAATTGAAACCTTTTGCAGTGGAAATGAAACCTTTTGCAGTGGAAATGAAACCGTTTGCAGCGGAAATGAAACCTTTTGCAACCGAAATGAAACCATCTGCAACCGAAATGAAACTTTTTGCAAATCAAATGAAACTTTTAAATTTATAGAAGGAAAAATAACAAAACATTTTTATTTTTAGTAGTTTTTAAATTAAATCAATTAATAATTAATAATAATATAACTAATATATTGACAAAGAGGATTTTTTATTGATTATAAATATCTACATTTATTTATATTATTTCTTAAATTTTCAATTATTGTAATAACAAATGGTTCTTTATTGATTTAATATAAAATGCTTCCATATTATTAAATTCCAAATGCTTAACGCTAAAAAGAGAAATTTAAACAAATTTTGCCCTTTATAGGTATGGCCAGGACTGAAATGTGAAATTAAACTTTTCCACAATTTTTTATAGTTATAATATACTATTAATCTTACCTAATAAAGGATTCCCGCTTCGCAGCTTTATTGATTATGGAGATAGAGCAGTCGTGATTTCAATAGACCGATAAGTGGAAATCATTAAATGAACTATGATCATGATTGTATACAGTTTATGGGGTCTACGACAAATATTTAGAGATGTTACAAACCGAATGTCAAATTTAATATATCCTCCTTTTCATGGAGGAGATTATAAAAAGATACCTAATTCGGGTCCTTTGAAAAAAATACCTTGAAAAACTTTTTTCAATCTTTCTGCATCTACACTTGTGTTTTATGGAAGCTTTAAGAAAAAAATTTTTAAAAACATAAATATTAATAATCAATAAAAATTCCTCTTTAACTATATATTAGTAATAATTAGTTAATTTAATTTTAAACCTACTAAAAATAAAAATGTTTTGTTATTTTTCCTTCTAAAAATCTAAAAGTTTCATTTGATTTGCAAAAAGTTTCATTTCGGTTGTAAAAGGTTTCATTTCGGTTGCAAAAGGTTTCATTCCCGCTGCAAAAGGTTTCATTTCCACTGCAAAAGGTTTCATTTCACTGCAAAAGGTTTCAATTCCACTGCAAAAGGTTTCATTCCCGCTGCAAAAAGTTTCGTTTGAATTGCAAAAGGTTTCATTTAATCTGAAAATGCTATATTTGATCCACTAAATACGCTATGTATCTCTAATTGCAATGAAATATGGAAGGTGTGACGGAGAATTTGACAAAATTTCTATTGAAACTCTTTGTATATGCGGACTAAATTCGACATGTTCTTGCTTTTCTCATGGTCAGCTGTGCCTGACATGTCCACGCGTTGGTAGACCGAGCGATTTGTTTGTTTACTCATTAAAGTATTACATTAAATACGTTTTTTTAAATTTTTGAATTTGTTTTATTTTTTAGCCACAAAATAAAAAAAATCAAAAGGGGAAGCGAAGCACACCGTTTCATCCAGTTCTCATATAAATACAGGATGAGATAAAAAAAACTGCAACAAAGTCAAACACCATAATTTTTAATTCTTCTTTTAAATTCTATTGAATGAAAGCAAAAATGTCGGAAATAGCATGAAATTTTAGAAAAAGTTTAGATTTGTTCGAATTGGTAACCTTTGGCACGAATTATGACATTCAAACGGCCAATGAAACCGTCACATGCTCCCCGAATGTTGCTCTGCGGTATTTTGGCCCATTCCCGGCGAAGCGCTTGCTTGAGGTGATCGACAGTCTGGTATTTTTTAGTGCCAACCTTGCTTTCCAAAATACTCCAGACACAATAGTCCAACGGATTGGTATCCGGAGATTTTGGTGGCCATTGTGCACTGAAAATGAAACGAGGAACCTCATTTTCTCGGGTGACGCGTGCTGAGTGCCGTGGTGCTGAGTCTTGTTGGAATGTCCAAAATGTTTGTGTGTCCAATGCTTTAATATCCCCTCCAGAATATTATCGTGATAATATTCGGCATTTATTCTGATGCCACGATCGATTAATACGAGCGGAGAGCCACCATCGGCTGTCGCCCACACCATCGCCATGGCCGGTGCTTGAGTTCTGATGGCCAACCGAAGGTGTACATTTTCAGCTGACCTGGCAAGTAAACATGATCATTTTGTTTATTTACAAACTGCTGGACAACGAATGTTTTCTCATCGGAGAAAACCAAATTCGGCAGTTCACCACTTTCGGCCAAGCGAAGCAACTCTTTAGCTCTTTTGAGTCTGTTGCGGCGTAAGTCCTTGCATTTTTTGGAATTTCAATGGTTTTACCCGAGCTCATTTTTTAATATTTGCCGAATGGAATATTGCGATATATTGTTTAGCTCACGAGCCATTTTTGGGCCACTTCGACGCGGGTTTCGATCAAGTCGCTTTTTTACTTTTCAAACAATTTCTGTTGTCTTCCGTCCACTTTCTTTACGTCTGCTTACGCTACCAGTATCACGGTAACGAGCGATGGCACGAGACACAAAGGATTTATTCACATTTAAATACTGGAGTGCTCTAACGATAGCCACTTGTGGTTTTCCAGCCAAATATAAAGAAATCACACCATGACGCTCGAATTCCATCACGAATAACTTTTTTTCTGGAAAATTCTCACAATAATGCTTTTGTACGCTTGTAAACGATATAATAAGGTATCACTGGAATTATTTTAACAGCTGTATGACGAGTGGCTGGACAGCAGTCTGAAGTTGGTTGCAGTTTTTTCATCTCACCCTGTAAATCCAAGTCTTGGATAGGTTTTATAAAACGTTGGTCTAAAAAAATTTGATTGTGCTTATACTTGTTCGACTGACTTTGGAATATGGCCGTGTACTTTGGAGTCCCTCTTATAAATTTTATTCTTACAAGATATAGTATGTACAAATGAAATTTCTTCTGTTTGCTCTCAGATTTGTTTGATGGTTATATGTAAACGTACTATTAAATACAGGTCTCAATTATCGGCCGATCCAAACGAAATTTTACATGGGGATAGGGTAAGTGTTAGAATTGAAGCCTATTATTTTTAAAGAGGTACAAATTGACCAACAGATAAAAATTTTCCTAATTTTACTATAGCTCAACAGATGACAATTAAAAACCAATCGACACGGAATTTAGCAAGTCTAGCATTCTGGATGATTTTTTAATACCTATTAGCACGACAGAGAGCGCTAATATAGAGCAAATGCCCCCGGGAAAAAACCAAAGGTAACATTTGTGCTGGGTTGTATAGTATTTCAAAAAGAAATCTACCAAAACGGATTTGGGCAGAATCCAACATATTATAGTATTGTAGGCTATCACACGTTTGGCTATAGCTATTGTTTACTGCTTTTGATTTGAGTTTGCATGATTTTTGAATAGAGTTTTGAAAAAACGACAAATGTTATTTAGGCCCATTCCGCCAAGGGCCTTATAATGCATTTTACTCTTGCCCTTCATTATTATCACTAGACGCGTCATCCGAAGTTTCTTGATAATGGCATGCATGAACTGTCCAAATATTAATTATATGTTCCAGGTATCGATTATTGTGCCCACATCTTAAATTTCGATTAGAAAAATACCCTGTAATGTCTTTGTTAGGTGTTTCGAGTCCAATTGTTATTTTAAAAGGCAAATAAGACAGAAAAGTAAGCTGTCCGTCGGTATAATAAGCGGGCATTGAAGGTATAGCTTTAAAAATTGGTATTTACATACACCTTTGGAAACGGGTCTATTTTATTTATATATCTATCGCAATCGATATTTCACAATACTTAAAATAATTACTTGCAAAAATATCTATGCAATATTTTAAAATAGATTCCATACCTTGATAAATTCTTTTTAAACTGTTAAGACTCTCAAGCAGATTACCATATTTTCAAATTAATTGTTTCTATTTGAAAACAATAATTTCAATATTTAAAGAGTAGCTTATTGTTTGGTAAAAAAATATACCATTTCAATTTGCCATACCTAAATCTTACCTTTCTCTTTGTATAATCCTTTGATAATCTTCAGCATGTTTGTTTGTCGTATGATTATTGTAATTTCCAGATGGCAGTGAGGTTGTGGATGATTTTAATTTATCACTTGGATGGTTGTTGTTGTTGTTATTGCTATTTGAGTCATGATTATTAGATGGTGGTTTCTGTGATGTTTTAGAATTTGTATTTGATTTTAATTTTGTTGCACTACTAACATTATTATTGTTGTTGTTATTTTGAGCACTACTGTTGTTATTATTTAAATTTTGACACAAAATATGTTCTATGGAAAAAGGAGTTTTAGATGAGACCACCATTGTGGTTGTTGTTGCTGGAGAATTATTTTGTTGCACTGCCGTCGCCTGCTGTTGTTGCTGCTGGTGTTGCTGATGCTGATGATGTTGCATGATTTGTGGCAATTTGGCAACTAAATTTGTGGGCGACGATGCAGGTGATGGTGTCCTGGAGCTGGCTTTAAGTGGATTGCTTAAATGTTCACTTATTTTCAAGGACATTTTCTCAATGGAAGAAAACTTAATTATTTTTGCACAACACTTTGGAAATTATCTTCTTCTCCTTCGTTTGGTTTTCTATCCGCTGTGCTGATGATACCCTTTCTATTTAAATTTGGAAATCCCGTTAAGCAATTTGCGAATCATTAAAAGCAGTTGTTTGCTCGTTGACGGTTGCATTAACAGTGATTTATGGCAAATGTACCGCAAAATGATTATCGATGCTTGAGTCGAGAGAACCGCGCTTCGGATGCATTGGCTTCTTCGAGAGCGAGAGGAATAACAACCCCGATTTTTTATGACAGCAAATCAATTTAATTATCCTTTGAAACATCCCCAAGCTCTCTTTTTGTCCTCGGGGAGGAAGAGAGATCGCAGTGGAAAAATTAACCACTCCCCATTTTGTTATATATAGCTGTCTCTTTCACTCTTACAAAACACTTGCATGTGTCCTGTTTCCATTACGTTTTGCCACATTTCCTATCGCCTGTGGGTAACCATTTTCATTTAGTTGTTTGCAGGAAAAAAATCCCTTAAATAAAATGACTATCATCCGACTGTATGACGGACTGACTGGTTGACTGAACGACTGCAGAAATCAGTCATCAACTCCTGGCACTCATATAATTTCCCAATTAGTGTGTTATTTTAGCCTTAAATAGGTTATATTTCACGTTTTGTTGGTTGGCTGGTTCGTTGGCTGGCTGGCGGTGGCTCGTTTCTTGGGTCTGCCAGACCCTGTCTGTGATATATCACCGACATCAGCTTGATAAATACTCTTACGATGATGAGAATAATGGTGATGGTGGGCGCAAATGAGCAGAGACTGGCGGAGTATGATGCGATTTCATATCACATCCGTTCATTAAACACAACAACTCAATGATGACAACGACGATGATTAAAATGACAGTTGTAATTTTTATTTTATACAACCATAAACGACTTAAGTACAACTCATCATATATTGATTTCTCTCCGATGTTGTGTACATCGATATACACAACTACATAGGTGCATACATACATATCTGCAAATATATATATATCAAATATCTTATAATATATTTATGTGTGTATGTATATATGTAGAGAAAATTAAAGTGATTTTCTTATGTTAATTTGAATATTGTTTACTTAGTATTTTTGAAAAAAAAAAAAATGAGAATTACAAAATTATGGGGATAATTAGTATGGATTTAAATTCCAATTAGATAAGTACACAATTACATATAATTATGTGATGATTTTTTAGGTTATGTTCTAAGAAGGTTTACAACATACGATTTTGCTATGAGAAGTGTAATTCTTGGGACGGATGCTAGGGAGAACTTACAAGTGCCTAGAGGGAAAATACGGAATACGTTCTATAATAAAAAATGAACAAAACGCAATTATTTGTTTCTATCGAAGAAGAAGAAGAATTTGGCAATTTTCAAAAAATTAAATCCTTTAAAAATGTTGCTAAAATCTTAAAACTACCAGGTGTAGCCGTTATATTGGGTTCTATACGAAGACGTAGACCTGCGTAGGCAAGATTTGTCATAAGCCAATATTCAATATTCAATTTCAAAACTTGAAAAAAAAATCCGGCAAAAAATATAGCTATAATCATAAAAATGCCGCTATATCAGGGCAATCCTGTGAAGACCTGGATCTACATAGACAATTTTCTGTCACAGGCTGTAGTACTTATTGGGAAATTTAAATACCAAATTTGAAACAATTCTGGTGAATACTGTCGCTAAAATCATAAAAATACCGAATATAGGGAGGTAGCGTTATATTGGGGCTATAAGAAGACGTGGACCTGCACAGAACATTTTCTGTATTAGACTGTAGTATCCATTACGGACTTCAAATACCGAATTTGAAACAATTTCGGTGAATAATGTCGCTTACATCACTAAAATACCGAAAAAAAGGGAGGTGTTATTATATGGGGGCTATACCAAAAAGTGGACCTACATGTCTCATTTTCAATACCAAAAAGTCCTTCGGACATAATATACATTTGAAAGTCTGTGGAAATCACTCTAGCTTCCGATCGAATTAAGATATAATGATAAAATTTTACTCAAATGTATATTATGTCTGCACGTCCACGTTTGGTACAGCCCCCATATTCGATACTTTGTTGATTTTAGCGACATTTTTCACAGGAATTATTTTATTGATTTCGAGAATTGCCAAATTCGTCCCAAATGGTGAAGGGTCCTGTTTTACTTGTTTTTTTTTTTTTAATTTTATTGAATGAAAGCAAAAAATGTCGAAAATAACCTCAGATTTTAGAATATTGGTAACCTTCTTGGGTGGCGCCTGCTGAATGCGATGGTGCTGAGACCTGTTGGAATGTCCAAGGTCTGCGGTCAAATTTTTTGCGTGCCCAAGGTTTTAATACACCCTCCAGGATATTTTCACGATAATATTCGGCATTTATTCTGATGGTCGATTAATACGAGCGGAGAGCGACCATCGGCTGTTATGTCGGCCCACAACATCATTATGGCCGGCGCTTGAGTTCTGGTGGCCAACAGAACAACATTTTCAGCTGACCTCTTTGGCAAATAAACACGATCATTTTGTTTGCTGGATAAAGAACAAACACTGTTGGACAACGAATGTTTTCTTATCGGAGAAAACCAAATTCAGTCTAACATCACATTTAATAAGAGTTATAAGGTACTTGGTGGAGTGCAGCGATATTGTCCATGACCTAGCGCTGATGCAAATATTAGATTTTGCAAAGTTAGAGCAAAATTGGAATATCCGTTCTCTTTCTGCGTAGTTTGTTTTTGATAATTTCGACCTTTTGTGGCGAAGGTACCAGAAGGAGTGAACCGATATTGCCCATCTCCGAACTCGATATAAGTTAGAAATTAATATTCACATTTGCTAGTAAACGATTCTGAATGAAAATATGTACATAAGAAGCATACAAATTGTAAATGAAACATACATACATATTGAATTGCGTATACACTACCACATACCACACAATACTATACATGGATGGAAAGATAACTGGTGTTTTCATCAATTAATAATTTTGCTTTCTCTTCTGTCCGCCCTGGGGCAAAAATTAATTACAATAATTGTGGCATTTAATGAATTTAATGTACGCAATGTGTGTTTGATGAGTACATCATCAAATGTATGTACATCATCAAATCATATACACACATGTAGACATATTTATAGCATAGGTAGATATATAGACATATAGCACAAATACAAACGTACACACATGTGTATACACATGATTCTGTATCAATCAACGAATATACTTAAATAAAAACACTGTCTTAATATTTTTGTGATAATATTATTTTCGAGACACGGATTTTTGAAATTCAAACAATATAAGTATACTAGCTGAACCCGGGGCGCTTCGATACCCATTTTGATTTTATATGCATTCAAAATTTTATATACGAAAATGTTGAGTTTTTATACCCTACAACACTATGTGTTGGGGGTATTATAAGTTTGATTGGGCCAAAAATTATGTAACACCTCGAAATATTGGTTTCCCACATAGGAAAGTATATATGGATCTTCCTAGCTCGCCGAGCTGAGTCGATCTAGCTATGTATGTCCGTCCGTCCGTCTGTCCGTCTGTCCATGTTAATTTGTAATCACTCTACAGGTCGCAATTATGGCCCGATCTTCACGAAATTTAGAATGTAGGTGGGGCTTGGACCAGAATAGAAGCCTATTTCTTTTGGAGATGATCGCATAATATTTAGAAATGGACCAAATACTGAAAAAATGTCGGATTTTGCAGTAGCTATACAGGTCGCAATTATAGACCAATCGACGCGAAATTTCGCGTGTAGATAGAGTTTAGGACGGGGAAGAAGCCTACTAATTTGGGTGGTCATCGGATAATATCTAGCGGGTAAAATAGACCATATCTTTTGTGTTAAAAAAATCAACATTTTTCATTAAACCGCGAATATTTTAAATCCCGGCGAAATCACGAAGCCATGACAAGGTTACTTCTGACCTTTACATTGATTTTAACATCCAACAAATCGGATATATAGCAAAATATGAGCGATATATATGTCTATCAAAGAAGATATGCTTGAAAGATCTCTTATATTTCGAGAACGGCTGAACTGATTTCGACAGTTCTCATTAATTCAGAATGGCCTCTTGGCAGAAAAGAAACAACGTCTAAAAAAATCGCATAAAAATATCTCTCTAAAGATGAAAATATTGATTTTGTAAAATTTTCTCATATTTTTTCAATTTTGTCATATTTTTGGCATATTTTCATTTTGAATTAAACATTTGGTAATATTTCTACAGCTAACAAAACTAAGTAGTTAGGATATCAGGATATCATATACAGATCGCATTTATGGCCCGATGCTTACGAAATTTTGCATGGAGATAAGATGAGGGTCAGAATAAAAGCCTATTCTTTTTGGATGATCGCCATATATTTAGGGGTTGAAATGGACCAAAAAACTGCAAAATTGTCGACAGGTCGTAATTATCGCCCGATCCTCACGCACATTTGAATGGGGGTTACCGCACATTGCAAAAGCCAAGCAGTTTCGGATGGCCATCCAAAAATATTCAAAGTGTGAAATAGTTTGCCAACTTTTGTAGACAAAATACGAAAATGTCCATTCCAATGACTTTTTGGAGAATTCACAAATACAGGAAAGACGCACTTCTGACTATTTTTTTTAACGCTGATTTCGTTGAAGAATGTAGTCAAATGTCTGTATCTCATATAGATGCGTTTCAGTCAAAAAGCAATAATAAATGTTAATCTTTCGCCACTTCTGAGAGGTTATAGGTCTTTTGGAAATATTGGTTCCAGATCTAGGAAGACCATTTAGGTGCAACATCTACCAATAAATTGGAAATGAGCAAATTAGCTTAAGTTGCTATTATTCGAAAATTAGAGAACGAAACCTGATGGGTTTCTTTTATTATTTGTCACAATATCTTGTGGAATTCTGTCGAGTATTTCGCCTATATAAACTGTATGGTTTATTATAGTGTTGTAGGGTATTCAACGGTCGGCCCCGCTCGACTGTAGCCTTTGCTTACTTGTTTTAAATTAAAAATAAACAATTTCAAGAATTTAACAAGTTAAAAAGCGGAAAGTTCAGCCGGGCCGAACTTTGAATAGCCGCCACCATTT